TCAGCTTCTGGTAACAGGCTTTTATTTCTCTTGGTGGTGCGCACAGCATGGAGGATCGGAAGCACAAGATCACTTTTGATGGTGTTTGGTGCACAGATTGAGCACGATTGTTTTCTACACAATCTGATTTATGGACATTATAATTTTATATCTTTATTTATGACACTACTGAGTCAAATATGTCTTTACTTGTCACGATAAGGAATTATTGATTTATGCATGCACTTTATTGTATTGTAGTCCATTTATTTATTTTAACAGCGCAACACATTTTCTTATTTTATTCATATGAAAACCTGAGAATGGTGAGTCTTCATAGCAAAAGCATTACAGCAATGACTACACTTTATATTTAGAAAAAGGTCTCAAGGATACTTACAGGGTCACAAGCCTGATCCCTGAGGTAAACAATGCAAACCTTGTTTGTACATTGATGAACTCACCAAGCAACAGGAGTGCACAATTTAATTACAGTGCCTACAAAAAGTATTCATACCCCTTGAAATTTTCCACATTATGTCATGTTACAACCAAAATGTAAATGTATTTTATTGGGATTTTATGTGATAGACCAACTCAAAGTGGCACATAATTGAAGTGGAAGGAAAATGATAAATGGTTTAATTTTTTTTTTACAAATAAATATCTGAAAAGTGTGGTGTGCATTTGGATTCAGCCCCCTTTACTCCGATACCCCTGACTAAAATCTAGTGGAATCAATTGCCTTCAGAAGTAACATAATTAGTAAATAGAGTCCACCTGTGTGTAATTTAATCTCAATATAAATACAGCTGTTCTATGAAGCCCTCAGACATTTGTTAGAGAACATTAATGGACAAACCGCATCATGAAGGCCAAGGAACACACCAGACAGGTCAGGGATAAAGTTGTGGAGATGTTTAAAGCAGTGTTAGGTTATAAAAAAAAAAAAAAAACATAGCCCAAGCTTTGAACATCTCACAGAGCACTGTTCAATCCATCATCTGAAAATGGAAAGAGTATGGCACAACTGAAAACCTACCAAGACATGGCCACCCACCTAAACTGACAGGCCGGGCAAGGAGAGAATTCATCAGAGAAACAGCCAAGAGGCCCATGGTAACTCTGGAGGAGCTGCAGTGATCCACAGCTCAGGTGGGAGAATCTGTCCATTTGTGCACTCCACATATCTGGCCTTTATGGAAGAGTGGCAAGACGAAGGCCATTGTTGAAATAAAGCCATAAGAAGTCCCATTTGCAGTTTGCGAGAAGCCATGTGAAAAACATGTAAAAGAAAGTGCTCTGGTCGGATGAGACCAAAATTGAACTTTTTGGCCTAAAAACGAAAAGATATCTGTAGCGCAAAACTAACACTGAACACACCATCCCCACCATGAAACATGGTGGTGGCAGCATCATGTTTTGGGGATGCTTTTCTTCAGCAGGGACAGGGAAGCTGGTCAGAGTTGATGGGAAGATGGATGGAGCTAAATACAGGGCAATCTTAGAACAAAACCTAGTAGAGTCTGCAAAAGACTTGAGACTGGGGCGGAGGTTCACCTTCCAGCCGGACAATGACCCTAAACATACAGCCAGAGCTACAATGGAATGGTTTAGATCAAATCATATGTATGTGTTATAATGGCCCAGTTAAAGTCCAGACCTAAATCCAATTGGGAATCCGTGGCAAGACTTCAAAATTGCTGTTCACAGACGCTCTCCATCCAATCTGACAGAGCTTGAGCTATTTTGCAAAAAAGAATGAGCTCTCTAGATGTGCAAAGCTGGTAGAGACATCCCCAAAAAGACTTGCAGCTGTAATTGCAGCAAAAAGGTGATTCTACAAAGTATTGACTGATGAGGATGAATACAAATGCATGCCACACTTTTCAGATATTTATTTTTGTAAAAAAAAAAAAAAATGTTGAAAACCATTTTTCATTTTCCTTCCACTTCAAAATTATGTGCCACTTTGTGTTGGTCTATCACATAAAATCCCAATACATTACATTTTGGTTGTAACATGACAAAATGTGAAAAATTTCAGAGGGTATGAATACTTTTTCAAGGCACTGTACACACTTCCGATGCTGATCAAACAAAGTAGCCAGCGAGAAATTATACCAAGCTAAGGAGCATAATTTGGGCTGTTTTTGTAGATACACTGACTACCTCAAACTTGCCCAGTCCCAGTATATCATATGGGTAAGGTGAATAAAAACTGGAGTGCTATCCAAAACAGCTTTGCCTTACAAAACTAAACTTTAACTAAAAGGAGAAGAAATATGCAATGATCTCTTATGAGGGACATGGTACAAAAAGTAAATGCATTGAATGAGTGTTAGGCCCCTTTGACACGGAGGGTCTGATCAGGCCTGCCTGTCAGATTTGCAGGCGGACTTGACTGGAGGGTCCATTCCCCTATGGTCTGTTTACACTAGCCTACCTCCAATTCCTTCTGGTGTGCTAAAAAAAAAAAAACAAAAAAAAAAACAAACAAACAAAAAAAAAAAACAGAAGGAGAAGGGATTAATCGTCCTCTATCTAGGCAAATCAGATCGGAGGGCAAACACCAGGTGTGAACAGACAGCAGAGTTCGTTTACATCTAGACACCCATAAAGCAAAGTGGGATCTGTCTGTAGTTGCTCTGCATAAACTAAGCTGATATGGACCTGTCATCTGCCCACTCTGCTCTCATCAGCAGGGGGAACAGCAGACAGATCCCCTGTTAAGTCCACCCCCTGTGAAAGGGTCCTTAAAATGTAATAAGTCACTTTTAAATATAATTAAAAAAGAAAAAAATGATCATTTGTAAAAAGCACAAAAAAATAGGGGAAACAAAAAAAATTATCACGCAGGAATTCTTTAATTCCCTTTTCATTACAATGAAAAAAAGCTTTTTTTTTTTTTTTCTTTTAGTTATCAAATGACCATTTACGAAGAACATTGCAGAAAACCATAAAACAGTACTCCTTAATTACATGTAGCAACAGGTGTAGAGTGCAGATGTTGATAAATGCCTCATATAAAAAGGTGTAATCTCTGCCATATTTTGGCTTAATTTTTTTTTGTACTTTTACAAAAAAAAAAAAAAAGTATAAAGAGCAATACAATTTCACAGAGGACAGCATTCCTCTAAATAAAAAACAAAAATACCCCAAAAGCTGAGAAAGCACCTATCAGTTTTTTGTTTAATCAGTGTAACACTGCCCACAAATAAGATGGCACGATGCAGTTAAAGTATATCTAAACTTGGAAGCAAAATAAAATTCATTTCCTATCATTTTTATGAGCAGCTGTTGTGGAAGGGAACTTTAATATATAGCAACTAACCTCTCCTAAAAATTAACATTTTTTTTTTCCCGGTTAAAGCAGTATTAAACCTTAAACCAAAAATGTAAAATACTGCAGGTTACATTAGATGCTGTGGTTGTATTAGGGTGTTTTTTTTTTTGTTTTGTTTTGTCTTTTTTAGGCTTTTTGTTCTTCTGATTTCACCCGGTGATCTGGCCAGTAACACGCCACCTGTATTAGAGTGCCTCCATTCCGGGAGAATGAGCACGGGGACACCTTTGGACAATAGCATTTTCAGTCTGGGGGAGGGTTAGATGTACTAGCAGATTTAAAAACACTAACAAAATTAAAGCCAAAACTCCAGCTAATACATTCTAAGCAGTTACAGCAAAGGGTTATTTTCTTTTGGGATAAAGATTTTATATAAATAAAAGCTGATCATTGTAAACACCCCTGCCAGTATTAAATGGTTTGCCCCATCTCTGTAACTGATACATTCTCCTTGTTCTTTTGAGAAACAACAGACCTACTGGCTGGATCGCCAGGTGAAAACAGAAGAAAGAAAGCCAAGAAAATGAATGCAGCCATTACATCCAAGATTTGGAAAGGTGAAATATAATACAATGTTTACTTTTTTTTTTTTTCAGAAAGTTTTTAACCCAACAAAAATAGCAGTTTCCAGAGTCCTTCCTGTAATTTTGCTTACAGAACTTAAATTTTAAATATTATTATTAGTTTTCCCAGCAATTTTATGTTAGCTACAAAAGCCTTTGTATTTATAGTCCAAATCAGCAGTGAAGCCCAGGGTGGCAACACTACTCCTCCATAGACACAGTATGGTGAGAGTAAGGGTTGTCAATCCAGGACAGGAAGCAATATCAGGAGGTAACATCTAAGGACTCATAAGTAAATATATTAAAAAATTTGTTTTTGGGTTTAGATACATTTTAAATACAGGATGGTTTAGGATATGAGCTGGCTGCTGCAAAATGGATTTTCTTACAACAGAAAAAGACAAAATGATAATGCAGAGAAAAGGCCTGCACAGAAAAATAAGCAGGAGCTGCTAACATGGAATTAAAGCAGCATCTGCTTCCTTCTCCCTTTGTCATAAGATACTTTTAAGTGGTTAATGTGAACATACAAAAAAAATCTACAATTATGAGCGCAGACATCTGGATCAAAATGGGAACCCCCCCAAAAAAAAAAAAAAATTAAACCTCTGGCAAAAGCTCTCTTTCCACTTCCTAAACTCTAGTCCTATTTGTTAAAATATTATAAATGAGCCTTACAGGATCCACAAATTAGTGTAAAGATAGAACCTGAATTCAGATAAACACAACATTGAAATATGTATATTGTGTGGCCTCCTGAAACTAGACTGCATAATACTTTAAAGCTCTTCCAATATATATATATATATATATATATATATATATATATATATATATATATATCTCTGATAGCAATATTCAAGCATGTATATAGTCAAATGACTGTTCCTGTCAGCAAAAAAGGTTTTGTCACTTACACACAAAGAACAGACAGGCACTTTGTTGACCCAACATGAAGTCTTAAGATTTTGAACCACCTGTCTGTTCGCACAAATCAAGATCAGCAGTAATATTTAGTGCTGTATACATACAATCTCTGTATTTGGTTTTGTGATAATTTGATCCCTACGCTGCAGAAAAAGATCTAACAGGGTTTGATCTTAAAGTCTACCTCAGAACAGTTTTAATAACAGCTCATATGTTGCATTGATGATACCCCAAGACAGAATAGATCGGTGATAGTTTAGATGGGCACCACGGAATAGGTGTGTCAGTTTTCCATCACGCTCTGTCCATATTGTCATGAGGATTTTTCCAAAGGAGGCAAATTCTCCTCCAATCTGTGACTGCATGCGGGCCTTCACCACATTCACTGGAAAAAACAGAAATCCTAACATGGCTCCAAGCAGTCCACCACAGATGAAATCATTGACTAAGTTAGCACTATAGCTTTTAGCTTCTGGCAAACACTGTTTGATTGGCTTACGAAGACCAAAAAATAAAGCATTGCTTGGTCCATTGCGGACCAGTATGGGTATTAAACCACGGTAATACTCCCTAAATCCATAGGGTCGAAGCACTTTGAAAGCCTGATAAGTATTAGTGAATCGATCATGATGTTTGCAATCCTGCAGCAAAGTCTGAATTCTTTCAAAAGGCGTAAGAATGGCTTCAGTAGTTCCTGCAAGGATTGCTGCTACACTCCTTGTAACAATCTCAGGAGAATTTGTATGCCTTAGCAAAAGGCTGGAGAAGTCCTCGTAAAGGCCAAACATCAGGGCAAGAGTTGTTGTTTTCTGCATAAGTGGGGGGAGAATTCCCCTGTACAAGTTACGGATCCCATCTCTCTCTAGTTGTCTTATAGCATCTCTGGTTCTCAGTCCATACAGCTGTTGTCTGAAGAGCACTTTCTGAATGGGGAAGGTGATTGCAATGTTCGTGAAGGCAGCACAGTAGCCACACACATAATGTTTACTAGTTCCAATAGCTCGTTTATGATGCATAAAGTCTTGTTTTGAATTTGAGAGGACCAAATCACTTTTTCTTTTTTCATGCGCCTCTGAATCCATCACAAATAAAGGTGCGCTTCCTGTCATGCAGGAAACATCAGGTTACCTAAAGGCAAAGAAAAAAAAAATATTTAAGATCTCCAATAAAATGAAAACTGATCTATAAAATAAATATATAAAAATTAGGAGCTACTGAAGCCAATTAAAATATCCAACAATTTGTCCTCACTTACCTGCAATGGAGAAGCAGCTTTCTAGTACCAGACAAGCTCAAACACTGCCTGTGCTAGCCCCTCTACTACATTTTGTGGACAAGACAATGCAATCTCCCTCAAAACTGAGCAAACAAGGCTCTTGCTCCATACTGGGAGTGAGCTCTACTTGCTGATTAACACCAGCTTCCCTGTATCATAGAGGAATGACGAGAGAAAAAACACTTGTATTTCTGCACTTATACAATACAATGAGAGGCATGCAACACTGCAAATTTCTAATACAATGCATTTAGGTTACATAGTTCTTGGTAACACTAAGCAATCTTAGTAGGGCTCTTTAAAAGTGAAGACGTCATGACTGTAAGTTAACTGTTTTCAAGAGCTGTCATCAGGAAAGTTAGCAAAGAGCAATAAAAGATAACATTTGAAAAAGCAAACAAATTACATTATAACAAGGTAAAGCATGCCAAACCTAAAACTGGACATCTGCCATAGAAGTCTGGAGCCATCATTGGATTCATCAGTTAATAAATGTTTAACTTATAGTGGAACTTTAGGGGAAAAATAAATAAATAAATACAGAGGGTGAACAGGCAGGAATTTTAACATAGAAGAGACATGCTTGTCTTTTCTGAATTAAAAAGATACTTACCTGCTTGTCTACCCTTGTACAGTGAGCTGCTCACACGCAGCTCAGTGTACAAAATTTGGTAGTGCTAAATCTGACTGAACTCCTGTGCATGGATGGAAGCCACATCATCCCCATCCGGCTGCTGTCATTGGCCAGATGAAGAGCTCCAGGATGCCGCACCACTGGAGCCAGGGTAAGTATAGTTCCACTTTAAAGTTTTGCATCAGGTTAGGCAAAGGATGTCACTCAAATGCACATTTTACAGCCTATCTTCTAATAAATAGTGCAAGGATCATTGTGCCCATCATTTATAGTGATGTTATGTTTTCTACACAAGGAAAACATCATAGATATGCACATTCGCCACTGTACAGGCGTAAATTCACACATGGTGTCTGCCCCTCCCAATTGTCTTTTACTCAAGTACCTCCACTCATCTTTATCTCTGTAACACAGGGGGAGGTGTTCCATAGTCCAAGGGAAGAACTGGGAGGGCTGATTAAACTCCTTAAGACTGAGTTTAAAGAGGAGTTGAGAATCTACAGAAGGTCAATTGCGTGAATATATTTACTTCAAAAGTAAAGTTTTTTTTTACTCCAATTATCTGCACATGACTGGATACATGAAGTAAACCCCCACAAGATCCCTTCAGAAGAAGTCCGGAAGTGACGAAACGCGTCAAGGAACATGACGTCTGACGTATTCACGCAAAAACGAAAGTGTCGGCGCAGCCATTTTGTAAACTGTAAAACATGGTTTCTGAACCCAGGAAGCTGCAGAGGCGGGTTTGTTGGCACAAAGCTGATTTTTACTTACCCCAATGTAAGATATTATATTAAAACGTCTGTATACTTCAAAATATATACCACATAAGTCTTTTGTATTCAATCTCACTATTTGGAGGTGGTCACTGAGTGTTCATTGTATTAATTGGAGTGCTCACTAATATATTTGTTTTGTCTCACTCTATTTAACTTATTGATAGTTTTATGTATTTAGATCATTTATAATTTAAATAATTCAAAGTTTTTTGGAGTGTACACTATTTTCACTTATTGTTGGAGTGTACACGGAATGATTTTTGCATGATTCACGTGTCACTCACAGTTGAATCTGATTATATTTTGGTGCACTTATTTATTGTTTGCACTGATTTAGTATATACATATGTTTAAGGTATATACATTTATTTGATATTTAGAAGGTAATACACTATTGTAGTTTATTACAAGGTTTGGAATGGAAATTGAAAGCTCTACACACTGGAATGAGATATTTTTGGTGGAATATTGATTTATTGGACTTTTATTACTTTTGGACATTATTATTTTTTATTCTATTATATATTTTTTTAAATATTTTTTTAATATTTTGGAGTATTTATTGTACTTGATTGGAATAGGGTATATTTATATTATTGATCTTTTTTCATATATGGGTTTTGGAATATAGGCGAAGGAAAAGGTTTATTATTGTATTTGCTTTCAAGGGTGAAAAGTGTTACTTTTCTTTAGGGGTGATTGTAGTGGTTATTTCACTTATTTTAGGGTTTGCTGAGGGATCATTACTTCCTCATACACACTGGATGTTTTTAAATGTGGTGGTTGGGAGTTTTCTTTTTCTGTCTCCAAACGCCCCTGTATGTTAGCCTATGTTTCTGTGCAAACAGACATTTAGAGGAGTTTAAATGCAGAAAAAAAACACTGCCCACACGCCCAGAAGCAGTAGTGTTTTGGCAGGGAAAAAAAAAAAAAAAAAAAAAAAAAAGGGGAGGTGGTTGATGAGCAGGCCCAGACTGGCCATTGAGATAATGAGATACATAGGGTAACAAAAAACCAGGATCAAGCATGAATGCAGAGGAGTACATGGACTACATCACCAAAGCAGCTCGTAGAAATCTCTTTACTAGACACCACACGTGACCACGTAACACGCTCTTCTTTCTTTTTTTATACTTCTCGCTTTTTCCTCTCTGTCTCCTGTTTCTCACCTTTCTTTCTATACTTCTCTCTCTGCCTCCCATTTCTTATCTTTTTCGCTCTCCTTCTCGCTCAGTCTCCTTTTTTTTTTTCTTTTTTCTCTCTGTCTGTCTGTCTCCTGTTTCTTTATCTCTCTCCCTCAGTCTCCTGTTTTTCCCTCCATTCTTTCTCTCTCCTTTCTTTCCCTCCTTCCTTCTCTCTCTGTCCCGTTTCTCTAATTTTTTCCTCTCTTTTCTATACTTCTCTCTTTTTCTCTCTCTCTGTCTCCAGTTTCTCTCCTTTCTCTGTCTTCCGTTTCTCTCATTTTTGTCCTCTCTTTCTTTCGCTCTCGGTCTCCTGTTTCTCTCTGCCTCTGTCTCCTTGTTTTCCTCCATTCTCGCTCTTTCCTTCTTTCCCCCCTTCCTTCCCTTTCTTTCCCTCCTTCCTTCTCTCTCTCTGTCTGTCTCCTGTTTCTCTCCCCTTTTTTTCCCTCCTATACGTCTCTCTCTGTCTCCCGTTTTCCTCCTTTCTTTCCTTCCCTCCTTCCTATACGTCTTTCTTGGTCTCCTGCTTCTCTTCTTTATTTCTCTCTCTTTTTATACTTCTCTCATTCTCCTTCTTGCTCTCGGTCTCCTGTTTTCCCTCTCTTTCCTTCTTTCTATAGGTCTCTCTCTGTCTCCTGTTTCTTTACTTACTTTCCCTTCTTTCTTTCCCTCCTTCCTTACAAAAAAAAAAAAAATAAAATGTAAAATTGTAAAAAATTTAATAAAATCAAAAACCTACTGACACTAGTGGCAGAACTACCAGGGTAGCAAAGTTTGCTCTTGCGACCAGGCTTTGGGCTGCTCAGTCCAAAATGCCCGGGCCTATTTTTTGTCCCAGTCCAGGCCTATTGATGAATATAAACATGCAATAACACTAGGCACGTTTAATGCTTCAGAGCATTAATTAATTTGAATGCCAAAATAATTATTATTCTGGCTAATTCAATGAACTTTCAAGCTCTTGATGCACCTAAACGCGCTACACGAGTTTACAAGTGTCAAGTGTTTTTTTGCTGCCAAAGTAATGCTGCCAGGAGAAAGGGCATCTAGGAGAGATAGCTATACATCCAGTGTGCATGATGCCTAAATATTCACACAATTTATTGTGAAGATTCTCAACTCCTTTAGTAAATCAGCACACTAGAGTTAACAGAGGCAGAGTGAACAAGACACCTTTAAATTTCTGAAATGATCACAGGCATTTATGGCAGGTTTTGAATAGATAAAAACACTAAACTTTAAGGAGTATATGTAATAGACCAAAAGGAAGCAAGAAAGAGTTGTCCATTGTTCAGGTTTACATATACTTAAAGAAGCAGCAGCTCAAATGGAATGTATAGTGTACTTTCAGTAAACACATAGCAAGTCATTTGTGCAGCATTTATATTGAACCCCAACTTGTTTCTCTACCCCACCCTTTTGAAGCACCCCTACACCTCATTATGAAACTATATATATATATTTTTACCTTTTTTGCTACAGTCTTCAGTCTGGTCATACTTTGTCACAGATACTCTTCCTCTTTTGTTCTCAGTAGTGGGCAGGTCCTAGATGCTAAAGGGAACGCTCTCATGTAATGATGTGTAGCCGTTCCCTGCAGCAGCTGAGTCCATGGTGGCTTGCCGACATGCCCCTAAAGGGTGGTTCCCCCCTGGACTTAAAGGAGGTGGGTTGAATAACCATACTTTAGTACCAGGCTTTAACCATACTTTACTTCCAGGCTTTATTAAGCATGGAAGAGAACCAGTACTGGATGACTGAAGCGCGAAGCGATTTTTACATTTTTTAAAAACAACAAATCTGGAGTTGGGCCCCGGGCAAAAATGCTCCCTTGCAATAGGGTTCCTCTGCAATGCACAGGATAAATGGTAGTGGTAGTTTATGCTTGGGGTACCAGCAAAATGGATATTTACTTACCCAATCCCATGCACCCACGGCAGCTGGTGCTCTCCTCTTTTCCCTGACGCTCCTGCTTGTGGGCAGTCCCTCAAGCATACCTATAGAAGCGTCCAACTTCAATTCCCTTCTGAACAAGCTAGTTGTTTGGCCAAGTATACTGATCAGCTAGGTAAGGGTTGAGTCATTGACCTGGAATGTGTGTCAGGAAAGACAGACGTTCTGATTTAGGTAAAAGCCACAGCTAACTGAACCAAGAGAGGAAACAAGACAACCAGAAAGAAAGCATTTTCAGAATAAGTAGCGATGGCAACCT